GAAGACAGACCAGGGGGGGGGGGGGGATGCACCTTGCCCCTTGATGACCAAGGCGTCCTTCTCCTTCGCTTGCCGCCGCCCTCCCATCAGGGCCGACACCGAGCGGCCCCCGCCTTTCCTCCTGGCCCGCTGCTCCTCTCTAAGGTCCGTCAGTAGGTCCAAGCGGCTCCCCTCCTCCTCGTCTTCCTCTTCCTCTTCCTCCTCCTCCCCACTTTTCACAGGCCTGTTCTTCTGCGAGTCGTTCGGAAGAGGGTGATGCGTACTGTTGGTACGCGGCTAGTTGGAATTTCGAAGAACTCTGTCAAGAGAATAACCGAGTCTTGGCTAGGAACCCTACATCTACAGTATTGTCGTCGCTGTTGGATTGGGTTATACCCCCGCAGAGAAAATAGGAAACAAGCCTTCGTTGACAGGCGGCAACATCTGTGCAGCAGCACAGACGCCAGTGCCAGCGATTGTGTGTGTGTGTCCTGACCCCGCCTACCTTGTCCACAATTTCCTTTTTTGTGCCGTCGCTCCTCGCCCATTTTTCCTCGGCCTCCTTATCTTTATCATCACCGTCTTCGTTTCTTCTCGCTTCGCGTGTGGCATCATCGTCGTTGTCGTCTTTTCCTGCGGGGTTGTTGGCTGATGCTTTCTCTGCTCCGCCTGGGTTCAGCGCGAGTCGCGAGTACGGCGGCTTACGTCCAGATTATTGACATTGTGGCGAACGGCTTTGTGGTCCGCTGGAAGTCATTCACACGTCATCCCCGGCATGATCAAGTCCGCTTGCTCTTGTTCCCAACTGGTGCCATCGACAAATCAGGCATGTCAAAATTTCACTTTGCTCCTTTATGTGTCGCTGATTTAGGCCATCTCACGAGCATGGTTGAATATCTACGAACACGACGCCTAGGTCCTAGGCTCGAGGTTAGGAGGTCAGGAGGCAAAGTTGAGGCCATGGACTTGGAATCCTGGTCACGCTCGAACCACAGATAACCATGCAATGTTGATATGTAGCGGTGTTCGTGGCCGATGTGCGCTGCTACTGTAAGTTCTTTGCATGTGTGCACCGCTTGCACCTCTATACGTACCATCATCAGGTTAGCTCTCAAGGTGAAAAACTCCTGTTTGTGTCAGCTCATCCCGGGCATCTCCTGTTTGTCGCCACATGTTGCTACCGTTTTCCTACGCATACACAATGCTGTACGATACAACAGAACACAAGATGTCGTCCCCCGGTTGAAGGGTTTTGGCCTCCTTTCCTAAAGAACGGCATGTCACCGGGTGTGTCAAAGTGTGGTCTGGCGGGGTGGTATCTTACGTCGCCCTTTCCGGTCTGACAGCAGCAGTGTTGTGTTTTGGGCTGGCTCAAGGTGACCGGGGAAAATCTAACCACTGGGTGTAGCAGCGTGGGGGGTGCATGTTGCCATGTGTAGAACACGGTACACAGGTACGTGTAACAGTCGATCGGACAAGCAAGGTAACACTGATCTGATACTGCTGTACGGACGGTGTTTATTTACTACAACCTACTGCTGTGTTGAGCGCGAGAAACACGATCGGTGAGCTGTGTACAATGTTGTACGATGTGCCCACCTGGTTTGCCGCGCCTTCGAAAGTTCTTGCCACCTGCGGCGCGCTTCTTGAATGCCGGTCGCGGAGCAGAAGCCGAATCTCCGCTCTCCTTGCCGGCTACAGCTTCCGCATCCCTACCCCCCGCCATGCCTCTGCTGCGCGCAGGTGCGGTATATGATGGTGCCCGTAGACGGCCAAAAGGAAGACCCTTGTTATCTTGTGCCGGGCTCAGGATGGGAAAACACAGTCCCTTAAGATCCCTTAAGCTTTACCACACCACGCACAGCACACTCTCTCCTATCTTACAGAGCTTGGGTGTTGCTTAGCATTAGTTTGCTAGCGTCAACAGCAGAAAGGAGTGAGCCGGGGAACCGGGGGGGGGGACCTGGAGCGCTATCCCCGGGGTACGTGGGGGAGTCGTGTATCGAAAAATATGTCTGCGCTGGTCTCCTGCTCTGTCGAATGTCATGTTGGCACTGCAAGGTGGTACATTGTAGGTGTACTGTGTATTGTTCGACCCGAGCAGGGCAAACGCGCGCACAGCTAGAGGACAAAGGGTCGGAGAAAGAAGCTGTACACGAGAGCTGTTGCTGTACCTCGCCGTCGGTTCAGACGGTGGTCGCATGGTGGTTCTTCGTCAACGCTACCGACGAAGCAACAGAAGCCAGCGCTGCGCGCCTGCTTGCTGCTACTACTGCTGTGTGCACACATTGAAGGCATTGAAGGCCATCAACACCCACACCAGTACAAAGGCGGTGGCATGGCCGATACTGGGACGACCACAGTGGAGCTGACCGCTGTAGCTGAAGATCTCGCTAAGACTTCTGCAAAGGTGTGTGTGCGGTGTGTGATCGTCTTGCTGTCCTCGCGTCGTCGGTCGCGCGCACATTCCCGCGAATGCTGGGTGCGTCGGTCGCATTCAGACAGTCCCATCCCTGCTCCTCCCACAGCAGGGAGTCACTTACTTGCGCCGTAGATATCATGCAACATCCGAGCTGCCCAGACATACCGATGCCGAGATCAGAACCCCCATTGACCGCATGTTATTATGGTATCATATTCGACAACCTGTTGCTGCTGCAATCGACTGACCTTCGCGAGGTTCCTGGGGAAACGGGGTGTTTGTGTTTTTGCGTTTTGTATTGGTATTAGTATTAGCTGCTCCTCGCGGAGTGTGTTGAAAACGCACGCGTTCAGAGTGGTAATGCTCACTGTACACGGATGAGGTGGTAGGGATGTGCAGTCTACTGTAGCTGCCGTGCTCTCTCGTGCTCTATATCTATCTCTTTCTATCTCTCTCGTGCCTGCTGCCTCTATTTTGCATAACTGATGACTCAATCGCTCCCCCCCAGTGGCAGGGCCGCCATGTACAAGAGACATTTGAGTTGACATACGTTAACCATTCCGGTCTCCGCTCACTACCTTCTAATGTCCGTACGAGTGCTTTGCATTGTCGCTGCATCCTAGGAAACTTTTTGTAGCACACCACACGCCACAGCAGTAGCACTGCCGTGTTTACATGTTTAATCTAGTCTACATGTCGAGCTGAGAGGAGGGTTCACAGAGAGAAGAGTTGACGTCCTCGTTGTGGAAGTAATATTTTCGGCCCCCGCTCACGACAAGATTCCGATTCCTTCATTGGCTGGTCCTGTACTAGACAGGTCGGAAAACAGGTCGGAAAAGCGGCATGCGCATTACCCCTCAAAGGTGATTCGACAGCTTTTGGATCAACATTTCCACACAACAGTTGTCTCTACAGAGTAGTTAGTCACAGACCGACGTTCCCGAGATAACTGGGAAGTCTGTTTGTGTTGTCCAGCTTGACTGCCTCTTTGTGCACCATCGCCGACGTCGATATTCCGCCGCCGTCGTCCACAGATTGAAAGCGTGGAGATGGCGCTCAGCGGACAGGGCGTGTACCTGGGTATCACCGACAAGGATACCCTGCTGAGCCAGCTGGACGTGCTGCAGAAGAAGGAGGCTCAGCTGCAGACGAAGGAGCTGTTCATCATGGCCGGTGCGTTCCTGCCTGCCGTGCCGTAATAGCGAACGGTGACCACGGATGAAGCAAAGGAAACCTAAAGAAATGATCCTTTTACAACACCGCTTCACCATGAAGAAGACAGCAAACAAGAATGAACTAGCCGTTGGCACTGAACTTGATCTCTTGCTTGGCGTTGGTGTAAGGTATGCTTAAGAAGTTTGCATGGAGAAGCAACGCCCAAGTCCTCTTGTGGTGGCGCATGTGACAATATTTAACTGGCCGTTCGAGCAACGAGTGTTTCTTGTCAAGGTCGTTATCTTAGGGTCAGGGTTGACGCTAGGAGGCAATGGAAACAGCAAGTGACCCCATCCCTTACCGTCTGTTTCTTGCCGTGTCAGTCCACTTGTCTAGACACGACAAGCATCGTTCTTTTCGCTCGCACCCGCCATACTCATCGCCCAGATCTGCCATTACATTGTTCTTGGCGCATAGAAACTTCCAGTTATTTTCAACGACAGCGTCATATTGTTTTTTCTTGTCCCTCCTTGTATGCTCTCCTTGCAGCCGTCACCGGAGCATCGGCATCAGTCCAGGCGGCGTCAATGTCCGTAGCTTTTCCATCGATGGGCGCCCTGCCAACCGGTACGGCGCCCGCCTCAACCGACACCTCAACGGAGGAGCTTACATCCTCTTTCTCCTCCTCCTCCTCGTCTTCGACTACCACAACCACCTCGACTACCGCCGCAGCCGCCGATGTGCCTGTCCCAGCGGCGGCTGCCGGTAGCAGCGGGGGCGGCGGCGGCGGCATCGCGCACCGTGGTCCCGACAGCAGCAGCGGTGAGCACGGCGATGCCACCACCGGCCAAGATTGTCATCACGTCGCCGACGACAGTGATTTCGGCGGGGCTGAAACTGCTGGTGCTTCTGCTGTGCCTGCTTCTGCCGTGCCGGCTGCTGCCGCGTCTGCTGCTGTTGCTGCGGCTGTTGCTGCGCCTTCTGCTGCGGTGCCGGCTGCTGCCGCACCTGCTGCTGCTGCTGCTGCTCCTGCTCCTGCTCCTGCTCCTGCTGTGCCTGCTGCGCCGGCTGCAGCTGCTGTGCATGCTGCCGCGCCTGCCGAGGTGGGCGGGCAAGAGGTTGTTGTGCCCGATGGTGGTGCTAGCGGCAACGGGGTAGCTAGCGGTGCTCCCTCTCCGACCGTGGAGGCAGGGGCAGCACAAGTCACAGCTACCCTTGAAGGTGGGGGAGTGACGGGTGTTGCAGAAGGCGTTCGTGACCCAGGCGTTACTCCTGCTGCCGGGTATGTCAGCGGTGGTGGTGGCAATGGTGGTGTGATGGGAGCGGTTCATGGTGATCTGCAGATGGCCCCTGTCGAGCTGGCGTTGGCATCCCCTCATCAGCTTCTTGCCCAGGTAAGGAAAGATCAGCATAGCTCGTGGATTTCCATGCCCGGAGTGATGTTCAAGCTGACCTCTACGCACAACGATGCAAAACGTGGTGGTATGCCCGTGCCACCTTGATAAGCCGTGGTATAAACGATAAGGACCGTTGCCCATCACCACTCGTGTTAGGAAGTGTTGTAGCTCTGCGACAATGGGACTTCAAAGACAGTAGTTGTACTCAGTTTCACAAGAATCAATCATGACTGCGTCATTTATGTGATGTACGTGGGCACATCGAGAATGTCGAAATGAGCGGAAATTGAAGGGAACACCGGCCATGACAATGTCCTCTTCCGTCGAAGCAAACATGGGAGCATGGGTCGAATGTTTGAGTCAGGTACCCTCGTTATCACCACCCATGTTGTATACCACCATGTGCATGATGTACGGTACTACCAACATGCAAACCTCTCACGAGCGATTTATTTGCGGGCCACCTTCTTCTCCCTTACGCCCGCCCTTACTCCTCGCCGCTTCAAACAGTCGCCGGCTCCCGAACTGTCCAGCCCAACGCTCCACGTCGGTCGCGCACCCGGGGCAGCCGCCGAGTTTCCCCCGTCCCTAGAAGCGGTTGGTGTCTCTCCCGCTCAGCACCACGCCGCTGCAGCGGCGGGTGCGTCTTCCCCCGCGGAGTGGGCACGCGGAGAAGAGTCCGCTTTGGCGGGGCGGGGTGCAGGTCTGTTGGGACATCACGGGGGGGTGATTGGCGCCGATGTCGGCGTGGTCGTGGGTGGACAAGGGCAAGGGGACCCCGTGGGGTGCGGGGGACCGTTACGGTCTGTAAAGAGACGGGCGGGAGAGGGAGGTGCGTGCGGCGCGGGTGTGTTGAGTCGGGTTTGAAAGGAGTCGCTCGAGAGATCGGGAGTTGGTTAGACGCTTGCGGGTGGTTGGAGTAGCCTCTGCGTCGGCGATGAGGTTGATTGATTCACTTGCTGAGGTGACGTGAAAGAACACGGCTGGGCGGGTGAGAAGGTGCGGGTTTTGTGGGCTCCAGCGAGCGACCGAAGTTACACCATTCGACAAGTAATCTTGGCGTTGACGGGTGGCTGTTCTGTTGGTTTGATTTCGGTTGGTACAGCCGGTAACTAACACGGTTTTGGATTTTTTTTTCAAGATGGAGGGTTCACCAGTATCTACCAACGTTGGCTTAGATTTGCATGACCTGTCACCATGGAAAGGCCGACCTGCAGCAGGTCGGAGAATCAGCAAGGCATATTGACGAAATATTGTTTTAAGTAGTAAATTGAGCATGGACCCGAACTTTACCTTTCTTGCCTTACTTGTTGGCCTGTAGTATCAACCCAATCTTGAAATATTCTTGCTCCGACGCATTGCTGTGACTATAGGAGCCGGGATCCCGCAGGCAGCGGGCAGTAACAAGCGTCGTGCAAGAGCCAGCGCCCGGTGTCAATACCCGGGCTGCATGACGGCCCGTACGTTTGGGCGACAGGGGGACCGACAGGCTTCCTTCTGCGCCGTCCACAAGGAAGAAGGTACATACCTGTTGGCTGATTGATTGATACCTGTTCCATGCTGCCATGTGTTGCGCTTCTGCGGCGTAATGTGGCGTCCAAAGTTGAGCATTACCAGGTATTGCTGTACTTTTCTGGTGACCCATGTTGCGAACAATTTGGTGTGGGTATTGGGACTGTGTCTGCAGCTCGTGGTTTAGGTACCGCATGTGATCCTCCTCTGAAAGACGGTTTTTCAGAATTGCAGTTCTGGGTTTCGCATTAACTGAAGCGATTGCTCTATTTGCCTTAGTGATGGTGTTTCTTATTCCTTGTGCTCCTCAAGATACGTATCTAGCTCGCTGTTCTTGCTGCACGAGGTACACACATGTATCTTATCGTGCTGGGCCGCTAGCCTACTGCCCTCGTGTATTCATGTTTGCAACTTGGAATTCTATTGTTTTGTCTATGCTTACAGCCCCCGTCTCCCGTGCAATACTGCTGCTGCCTTCTCTGCGTGGTTGTCTCAACACGCCCGGTGTGTACTCGTCATGCGGGCCCCTCAGGAATGATCAACATCAAGGGACGACGTTGCAGCTCCCCGGGGTGCCAGCACCGGCCTGGCTTCGCGATGCCCGGCGAGAAGAGGGGAAAGTTCTGCGCGTCGCATAGGCAGCCAGGGATGATTGACGTCGTCAGGTGACACAAATGATGATGTTTCCATGCCAAGGAGTGGCGCTGATATGTGCGTCTAACGTTGATGATGTTTGCATGTCAAGGGTTGCCGCTGATATATGCGTCTAACGTTGATGATGATGGCATGCGAAGGGTTGACGCTCATATGTGCGTTAAACACTGATGATGTTTCCATGCCAGTGTTGACGCTGATATGTGCGTCAAACGTTGGTGGTGTTTCCATGCCAAGTGGTGACGCTGATATGTGCGGCAAACATGTGTGCAAACATACCGAAAGTGTAGGTGGTGGGATGAAAGACACACGAACACACGCACACATGTGAAGCATGGAGAAATACATCGCGCCATCGCTTCCTTGGCATCGCAGTAGTGTAGACCACTACCCCGTTATCTTGTCGCGACTTTCAGAGCGGTGACAAGTATGTTCAAAACACTCCCGATACTCAGTTTTATTTGTCACCTGATTGCTGTTGCTGTCTGATCACGTCGAGAGCCTCTTGTGTAGCACCTATACGGTAAGCAGCAACCGCAACCCTCTCTGCAATCGTGTGCCATGACCTTGCCCCCGGCAGTCGAAAATGTCAGGTCGAGAGCGGAGACTGTGACCGTCAGCCTGTCTATGGATGGCCGGGGGAACGTGCCACCCGCTGCGGGACACACAAGCTCGAACGCACGGTGAGGCATGCTGCCGCTGTCGTTAACCTGATGGTGATGGTTCTTGTGTGCTCTTGTGGTGGTGATGTTTGTCGAGCAATCGCTCTAGTCTCTTCCCCGTCATGTTCCGTTCCTACCTAAAGAGGCTGGGCGAACGAAACATTGTAGTTAGAGTCCGACGGTCCCAAGCGCTGAAATGTGAACTTGGTAGTAGAGACTTGGCGCTAACATCGTGCGGACTTGACGCCCAACTGTTTCCAGCGGATGGTGATGTTTCGGGTACATCAGCCGCTGCACGCTCTCGTGAAGGTCTTGCTTGGCCAATGAGAGAGCGCAACTATCCCCGAGAAATGCTCGGAAAACAAGCGACTGCCGCTGCCTGCTCTAAGTCGTCAATACCGCACTTTCGTGGCTTGGTCGTGGTGTCAGGCGTGCTTCAACCCTACCGTCAGCTATGCACCAATGTACTGCGCGGACAGTCTGACACATAACGAAATGGGGCATTCTTGGATGTGATGGATTTGACGGCTTGTTGTTGCCCTCCCCCCGCCGGTCGTGTAGTCGGGATTTAGTTTCTCGTGATCTTTTGGTTGCTTTTTCGGGCTTTTGACTCAGGTGACCGACTCCTTTGCTAGTAGAAATGCTTTCCCAACAAAATTGCGCAAGATGGAAAACATCCCCGGATGTGTACAACGACACGTACTTTAGTCTACCGCAACAGGCGGAGAGAGAGAGAGATGGCACCCACCCCAAGACCGACTGACAAAGCTCGATTTGCTCCACCACCACGGGTTGCGGAAATAGCCCGTTAATTCTACACGAAGGAAACAGCCCGAAAATTCTACAACAAGGAAATAGCCCGACATTCTACGCGAAGGAAATAGCCCGATAATTCTACACGAAGCCCTGGTCGAAATGTTCCAATATTGCCGTTTTTGTTTTCGGTAGTCTTGGTGGAGAAACCGAGCTTTGAGGCATGTCTAGGGGGGGTACCATCTCTCGGCATCTTACTCCGAAATATTCATTCTCCCGATTTTACGCACGTACGACACCGGTCATGCTGCGGTGCTGTAACTTTCACCCCACCGTCTATATTCCCTAGCACGTACAACCTGCAATCGTCTGGACGCATGTCCTGTGATGGCCAGGCGTCTTACACGACACGTCTTTTTTTTCGCTTGCGTGTTTCCAGCTGACCACTCTCGCCACCGGGGCGGAGGTGCTGGAGAAGATGTACGACGTCAGAGGGAAGCGTTGCCAAGCGGAGGGTTGCATCAGGCAGCCTGGATTCGGACATCCGGTGAGTAGTGAGCTGGCGCTCTGGAACATGAGTGGATCACGTACCAAACAGAGGCCGAAACAGTTGTTAATGTGAAGACATCGCAACAACAGCAGCAGCAGGAACAGGCAACTTTTTACCCCGTTCTTGTCAAACTTGAATATATGGATCTGGGACTGACACAGTGAGATCTGAGACAGTTCAAGGCGAGGTATATGGCAGAATCTGAGCCTACTGCGTTGGCCTGTGGCGAGGCGCTTGGTTCAACTCCCTCGAACAGGGGGTGGATGTTATGGCCAGACAAGGAAAGCGTTTCCCGTAGGCTACCTTCCGAAAGCTCTGGTACAGTATGCATCTCGGCGTATATGTATGTATTGCCGCCGCCGCCCGATTGCAGCGCGGAAAATACTTGAGAATGTTCTTGCGTTGCTTCCGCGTCCCAGAATAACACGAGAGGATCTATTGAACAGTTGTTCATCCCTGAGTACGAAAAAAAAACACTTTCGCAAGTGGAACAGGGGAAGTCCTCTACAGGTAGGGGCTAACATTTCCTCGGGGTCTAGTAGGTTTGTGCAGTCAAATGCACGGTGACTGCCACGGCAAGCCACAATTTCACCCAGCAACTGCTGCTCTCTCGCGGTGGCTCGTGGTCTTGTGCAATCCAGCTGAAGGACAAGGGCTCAGTCCGCTGCCACGAGCACAAGCTGCCAGGGATGACCAATGTCCGGAGGCGAAGGGCGCTACAGCGCCAAGCTCTTCAGCAGGACGCCGCTGCAAACTATCAAACCTCGAACCACTCTCAGGCGGAGATACTGCACCATCAGCAGCAGCTGCTGCTGCTGCAGCAGCAGCAGCAGCAACAACAACAGCAGCAACAGCAGCAACAGCAGCAACAGCAACAGCAGCAGCAGCGGCAGCAGCAGCAACAGCAACAGCAACAGCAACAACAGCACCAGCGGCAGCAGCAGCAGGCAGGCGACCCTTCAACTCACAGTCAACCGAATAACGACGGGCAAGAACCTCCCGCCGCAGGCTGCCACGCAGGCGGCCACGCAGAGCAGCAGACCAGTGCCGTTGTCGAAGATACTTCGGACATGGCGGCGACTACATTGGCAGCGGCCGCGTTCGCAGTAGGAGATCCAACCCCACCTCCTTCTTCGCTCGGTGAGCATGACGTGAAACCTATTCCAGTATCTACCCTTCCCCGTCCCGCCGCTACTATCGCCCCGCTTGGAGCTCCCGCCGCGGCGTCGGTTGAAGTCGGGGGTTTCGCCGCGTTTCCGCCGCCGTCAGCCGGCATTTGTGCTGTGGATGGTGCTGTTCCGTTGACGCACGGCGGTGTCGTTCTTCCGGGGGGCTGGGTTGGGGAGGGGCAAGGCATGGCTGACGCGGAGGGTGTGTCGCACGTGCTTTTCATGATGCAGCAGCAGCAGCAGCAGCAGCAGCAAGACCACCACCACCAACAGCAACAGCAACAGCAACAGCAACAGCAACAGCCACAACAACTTGAAGCACAACAGCAACAGCAACATTGTGGGGACCAACGGCAGGAGCAGCAGCAGCAGCAGCAGCAGCAGCAGCAGCAGCAGCAGCAGCAGCAGCAACAGCAGCAGGAGCAGCAGCAGGAGCAGCAGCAGCAGCAGCAACAACAGCAACAACAACAAGAGCAACAGCAGCAGCAGCAGCAGCAGCAGCAGCAGCAGCAGCAGCAGCACCAACAGCAGCAGCACCAACTGCAGGAGCTCCCCGTGCCGGCCGAGCAGTACAAAGAGTTGCAACAGCAAGGAGCGCAAACAGAGACTCCTCCCGGCGCGGATCCCCCCTCCGTCTTTGGAATACCCTCTGCCGGCGACCTCTCTCCGGTTTTGTAGACACTTTTTGATCCTAAGACGGTTGCCGCTATGGGGTAGTGCGGACGTTTCCTTTCTTTAGTCCCCGCGTTGCTGTAGGTCTCAAAGCCGACAAAACGCGGTGCTATCGCTCTTAGTACAGCATGGCGTTGCTGTGCGCCTCATCTGTGGGGGGGAAAGCAATCAAGACGAACAGGCGGGGGCACACAGTATTGGCGGCGCACCTACTAGAGCTGGTTGTTTCCAGCATGTGCTGGCTCGTCCGCGCCGACCGCGCCGTGAACGTGTTTGATACTTTCGAGCCCCAGCGAAAGGCCGGAGACCGATGGTTTCACAACTTTTTTTTGTTCGCGTGTACAAGTTCGTCTGGGATTTGAGTGAATTGGATGTGGGGTCTCCCTACCTTTGTTGTCTTGCAATGGTGATTCGTGCGAGTATCTATTTGCCGCTTGCTTTGAAGCCTTTCGCTTTGAAACCTTTCTTCGTCCGAGGGGCTGATGAAGGCAGCTAGCGCGCGGCCTCACGAAGAGTACTGAACGTCGGACGCGGGGGTGTGGTGCATGGCAGGAATGAACAAGTGTGATTGTGAATGAATAATTGTGGGTGTGAGTGTGATGGAGCCGGAACCTCTTTGCCGCAGGTAGGTGGATGGTCGGAATGAATGCATGTTGTATTGTGCGCCACATCAAGAGACGCACCCGCAATTGTGTGGGCCCGTTTGGTGGTACAAGATGGTTTGGGGAGTTGAGAGTGACGGATGTTACTCTTATCGACATTGATACAGTCAACTGATCAGTCCACAGGGGAGGTCTCTGTTGCCAGCGTTCAAGCAGGTCCACAGGAGGACACTAAATTGACAATAACCGTGATCCGGCACTCGGGAACGAAAGGGTCACATGGATGCAAAAGTTAGACCATCAACTGGCGATGCAGCAGGCGCCTTCACGCTGACGCTGTAAAACAACGTACCTGTCGAGATGACCCTCGACTTTTTCCCCACCGATGACCTTTTGCTCGCATGAAAATTTGGGCCACGTACGTCGTGCTTCTGTTCTGTTCCCCCGGTGAAACCTAATAGTCTACAGCACGAAGATAGATACGACGAAAACCGTATGTACGAGCCTGTTTATGCGCGATAAAGCTCCGAAACAGCGACATCAGCATCTGCTGTACATTGGGCCTTGCAGAGCGACTAGCACAGGCGCTGTAGTCTAGCCCAATGCCCGGGACATCTCCAGCTGCACCCTAATTGACTGCCTGAACCTGTTGCTGCCAAAAGTTAGATTTTTCGTGATGAAACTGTACACCTACAGTAGTACATTGAGATGAGCAAGGAGCTTTCCCAGTGTTGCATCATATAAAGTATATGTGGATGTTGGTTCGGTGTCGTGGTTGACAAGTGAGTTTGGAGCAGAAATGAAATGCGATGAGTGAACGTAGATGAAAGGACCATGTCCACATGTCGCCAGGCTAATCTCGCAGTGAAATTGCTTTGTCACGACAAAGTCCTATATGCGGCGTGTCTATTCTAAACTAGTTTAGACATTCACGGCGAAGGCTAAAGCGCTGATGTGTTGTGAGAAAACCTTACGAGACGAAGAAAATTATTGAGAGAGAACGCAGATAGAGAGAGGCCGCCAAAGTCAAACGAGCCAACGAGAGATGTGTGGGTTACCGTTCGCCGATTCCGGCCGTTTCATGTTGTGGTTCTTCGACGTGTGTGATGTCGAACCGGAACCAGAGGCGGCCAGACTCATGGGTCCCAGCACGTGTGCATGATTGGACATGTTGCGATACAAATGAGGTGTGGTCACTGGTTGTTAAGTTTATCATTGAACGATGGAGCGCAACGAAGTCGTCTTCGTCCTGGGGGGTCCCGGCTCAGGCAAAGGCACCCATGTGAGATACCGCACCAATATTGGAGCTCCATGTTGCTGTGTTGTGTCCCTTGGTGCCTATTGACCTATGCAGTGTGGTTGACCTGATCTACAGTAGTGTACAAATTCGACTCAGTGCTTCGCAGTGGACGAAGAATGAATGAGGTCATGAGACTAGACACCCACAAACACACCCTGAAATTGTGTAGATTCAGCGTTTTCTAGCCGAAGAGAACTGCACATGCAAAACGTGTTGTGAAGCACGTTTGAAATGTGTATACGTCGGGCCAAGGACTGACCCCGTCGTAGTCAAAAGAAGCAATACGTCGTCTCTACAGTGGCGAGTCAACATGAGACCTCGAACTTCATCGCCGATGTTTTCAAAATGACTCATTAACCGTGTACGGCCTTGGGATGTCTTGAACTGTCACGTATGGCGATGAAGTGTGCTAGGATTGCAGCCGAGTTCGGATACACTCACCTTTCCACGGGCGACCTTCTGAGAGAAGAGCAGAAGAAGGAGTCGGAGCTAGCCACCAAAATTGCAGAATGCATCAGGTGATGGCATGGTTTACATCGTTGAGCCACAAGTATCTGGCTGCGAAAAAAGAGGAGTACGTATTCACGGTGGTGCAGCAAGCAGGATGTAGCGGTAAAACATTGAAGGTTGGTTGGTCTATAGTCTAGTGTATCTCAGTGGTGAGGTTGAAAGCAATGCTTCTTGACGATTACAACGTCGGCAAAACTTCACTACAGAACACCATGGAGTACTGAACATCACGGAGTATTTGCCACCCGTTTCAATCGCCCGTATCGACATTTCTAACTCTCCCCACATTGTATACATGTTGGTGGTGGCACTGCGTGCTTTCAGAGATGGACAGCTCGTGCCCTCTTCAACCATGGTGGCCCTGTTGAAGGAGGCTATCCTGAAGGGCGACTCGAAGAGATTTCTACTGGACGGATTTCCCCGCAGCAAAGACAACCTGGAGGCTTGGTTTGATGCCTTCTCCGACGAAGAGATCCAGGTGTGAAACATTGTTCGAATCGTCATTTGTTATTGTCGAAACAACGGACGCCATTCACACCTCAGAGTTTCCGTATTCACATCCTTCGTGCCGAGGTAGCCTTCTCGCGCAAGGCGCTTGCATCTCAGAGAACCCATAACGATGAAGTTTGCTCACCGAGCGCACACGCGGAGGTTAGTTTACATACATACCGGTAGTTCTGCAAGTTTGGTTCTGGTCGCATCAAGATGCACGGAACAATCTGGTTTGCCCCCGATCGGAACTGCTCAAGCGGGCTCCCGGAATACAAACGCCGACGGTCTCCTCAAACCTTAAAGATCAAGACGCGCGCGGGGAGGAGGGGGAGGCAACGCATCCCTCCATGCACTCGGGTAGCCCGCTTCGGTACTAATGTATCACATTTTCGATCATCTTCCCGATTCCCCCAGAGAGAATCGACGCTGTGCCATTGGAGAGCTTTGAAATCAGTGGATAGAAGGCGACCGCACACAAGTTTTGAACACTTGAGGCGGTCTGCGCGTGTGTCATACAAGCTGTTGCTTTCATTACTCCGACGAGCGAGGGGGAGAGGGGGAGGAAAACATGATAACAGCTGCAATGTTACATCGTAGCGCTCGGTTCCTTACGAGGTCGGGGAGGAGCTTGAGGTCGGGAAACCACGACGACGACTGCGGTCAGAAGTACGCCAGGTTTCTCGCACTGCAGTACGTGTGCAGCACTGCTCTCTTGTTGCTGTGCGCGAGGACTTTCACAGAAAATCATCTACTGAACATGAAATGACCAACCAGACCCTTTGGCACTGCTCTCTTGTTGCTGTGCGCGAGGACTTTCACAGAAAATCATCTACTGAACATGAAATGACCAACCAGACCCTTTGGCACTGCTCTCTTGTTGCTGTGCGCGAGGACTTTCACAGAAAATCATCTACTGAACATGAAATGACCAACCAGACCCTTTGGCACTGCTCTCTTGTTGCTGTGCGCGAGGACTTTCACAGAAAATCATCTACTGAACATGAAATGACCAACCAGACCCTTTGGCACTGCTCTCTTGTTGCTGTGCGCGAGGACTTTCACAGAAAATCATCTACTGAACATGAAATGACCAACCAGAACCTTTGGACATCCCGTCTGCTGCGATTGCTTCGTTTGCTATGCAGAGTGTATGCGTGGATCAAATCCGGTTCTCCAGTATGTGACGTCATCTATTCGCTCCTTCTTCGAGCAGGTTTCCTTCACGCTGTTCCTACACTGCCCAAAGGAGGAGTTGAAGAAACGCCTCTTGGAGAGAGGGGAGACCTCCGGCCGGGCTGACGACAACGTAGAGACCGTGCTAAAGCGCTTTGATACCTTCGAGAAGGAGTCCCTGCCCGTGTTTGAAGAGCTCGAGCGATTGGGTATGGTAAGCAAACACCCAAAGAACCTGGTTCCGAGTTTAGACCTCTGCGACATAGGTCTCCGATTCGGAACACGGGGTTATCGCCTCCACCCACCTCTGTTGTGTTATCGGAACGTAGGTGCGGAAGGTGTCTACTGTACCTGCTCAGGAGCTAGTGGCGCACCGCGTAAGTCGATACTTCAAGGGATGCCGGCTGGTCGACCCCGTTGAGAGGACGCTCGCACTCATCAAGCCTGACGCAACGGGAAATACGGGCGAGATCCTCAATAGGTGACAACAAGAACGCTTGACAGTTGGCTGCCGCCACTTTTCCCTGTCGAAAGAAGTAAGGATGGCTTATTACTCCAAGAATCGAGACTGATTGGCGAAGCACGACCACAGCAGAACCAAGCCCAAAACCAACGCCAGGCAATACTCGCGAACGACTACAGTACTCTCGTCTACACAACGCCTTATGACGCAAGTATCGTTCGCTACGGATGCACTTGCTAGTCAGGGTTGAACAGGAGGGTTTCGTCGTTGTCGGGAAAATTGAAGGCCGAATGTGGTCCCAGCAGGACGCCGCGACCTTCTACTCGGAGCACCGTGGAAAGGCCTTCTTCGACACCCTGGTGGACTTCATGAGCAGCGGGCCAATCGTACAGCTCTGTCTGGAGAAGGTAAAGGCCACCAGGCAGGTTGATTTATTTGATACTTTGCACCCTTGATCTCCTTCGGAGAAAACCAAGATATATCGGCATGAACAACACTTGGTGGTGACCATTTCGGGTGGCTATCTTCGAACAACATCAAGCAGCTTCAAGGCGAAGTCACGAACGACCACAGCAGGATATCTGAGCAGCGTCAATGTTTACCAAGCGGGCCACGGAATAGCACCTTTGAAGTCCGAAACACCTCCCCGACGGGACCAACCATCCCGACGACGTCCGATCTGCGTCAGGTGGGCGCGATCAAGGCCTGGAAAGAGCTGGCGGGTCCAACCAACTCAACCGACGCCAAAACCTTGGAGCCGTCGAGCATCAGGTGAAGGTCTCGGCATGGGGTCTTGGAGCATTCTCGTGTCGCCTGCTGGTGCCGTCGTAGACATCGCGGCTGCTTCCGTTGCCACGAACGTCACCTTGCTTTTTGTGACCGTGATCGAACTTCATCAGTACGATATTTCTTCCAAACACTGCCTTCTTCCGTCGTGCTGACCTATGCCAAAGGCAGACGACCACTGCCACGCGGATCACGCTGATCTTCCATCTTTTTGTGCACCCGAGTTGCACAATAAAAATGAAAAACAAAGCGCTTCGAAAAGGCTACTGTTGCAGTTTTGGACACACAGAAAATGACCGGAAGACCTTCGAAAACTCGCTCCCAGCAATAACAATTCCGCATCCTCAGTGACTCGAGATGCCTATCCACACTGAATGTGAGGATTGCCACCGATACCAAGGAAACGTCACGCTTAGTTCAGCGGACAGGTTGTCGTGGAAGTCAATATTCAAGCGCCCTTAATCCCCAAACGTTCGTTTCAGCATCGTCCATCGGTTTGCCCACCTCCCTCGTCATAACGTAGAAAATCTGTTTACTACATGCACATCGCATGCGCAAGCTCCCCCGGCTTACCTTCACGTACCTGAGTTCTTTGTCCCTGCAATCAAACCTACGCAGAGCACTGTACGGTACGTGCGGCACCAAGAACGCCGTCCACGGAAGTGACAGCTTCGCGTCCGCTCTACGAGAAATCAACTTCTGCTTCGACCAAGCGGGGAAGGCCGCTGCTGTGGTCGCGCCGGCGGAAGAAACTGCCCCGGCAGGAGGAGCGGAGCAAAAGAGCAACGGAAGGGACGGTAGTGTTGACGGCGGTTACAATGAAGACGGTTTCGCCAAGGAGGAGAAGACTCTAGCTCTTCTCAAGCCTGGGATTTCAGAGCTGCACTCAGGCGAGGAACCCCTGGCGAAACACTCATTAATATCATGAAACAAGTTTCGCCATGAAGAACGCAGCAGCTGCACTCAACGCCGACGTTGTTCTTCAGTTTGTTCCTCTGGTGCTGGCCCACGAGAGAAATACTCACTGACTGCAACTACTTTCAAGGAACGTCTATTGCGTGTTCTGTGCGTCGTTGGGATTGTGGGCCGGTCGGTCGGTTGGTTTGTTCCATGTTTATTTCGAGCAGCGGAACACAGCCGACCCGGGCCATGGCTTGCGGGTGATGAGGCTCTTCAAAAGAAAACGTTGTACTGTTTCATTTTGTTTCGCCACTTTGTAAGCCAAGCTTCTGGGGATTACGTTTTGGGTCGAAGGGTTACGTTTAGGGTTAGGGTGTTCACCTTGTTGTCCCTCAACTTTAAGACAGGCCCAATCGCACATGGTCCCCGGCGGAACGGCCTCAACACGTTCAAACCTCAACCTTCGAGCACTTGTTTCAACGGTAGTATTCCATGAAACACCCACACTGACGTTGTTGCCGAGTCCTAGCTCCGAGGGCGCACTGTCCCCGGCCTGACCTTTCCCTTCAACTTGCCATTGGGTCCCGTGCTCGTAACACAGATGACATTTTGAACGTGCTGGCGTATCGGGGATTCGCAGTGCTCAAGACAGCCACTAGGGTGAGTGGGGGCCACCATCACATGGGGAATCATCTCCATTGCATCAATCGACTTATTCCACATTCTCCGTTCTAGAATAGCCCCCAAGACCATCACGACACTTACAGCTATGCCTGCTTCGAACCAACGAAGGTGATGGAGGATTCGGAGGCCCGCAGCTTCTACCAGGAGTACTCTTCGGAGACGTGGTTCAAGGACGCGTGTACCTCGATGGCTGGGCGTGGAGAAACGACCGCAATTTGCGTATCCAGAGTCAAAGGGGTGGCATCTTTGCAGGCCCTGGCCGGGCCGGCTGATCCCAAAGAAGTGAGTTATTGGAGCGTGTGTGCCGGTATTGTAATGTTCTTCTACTAGTGCAAACAGTTTGATTTGTTGTCGGTGGGTTCTGCAGTTTTTGCATACACAACGAAACGACGCGGGATCCTACAGGTTCTTGCGCAGGATCTTCTGAGGCACTGCCGTCGAACGATCAGTCGGACGGTGTCGCGTTCAGCACCATCTGTCGAGAACAGGCATTCTCAGGAAGACTGTTTTCTCTCGTTGTGTTTGATGCGAGAGGGTCTCATCGGGGGGTACGATTTTCACTTCTGTCTTTCCGGTTTATTTGCCCAGGCAAAGGAACGCGCGCCGCGGAGTCTGAGGGCAATCTACGGGGAAGACACGGTCAACAACGCCGTGCACGCAAGCGCTTCTGTGAAAAGCGCCACAAGGTAGGGTGACGCCTACTTTGGCGACACCCTGGAGCAGAAGATACAGCGATGATAAGGAGGTAGACCACTCAGCCACCCGGTAAAAGGTTAACCGTTTACCTGGCTGAGACAGGACCTTATATCAGCGAGCCAAACTTTGTCTATCACGATATGAGCCTCGCTGCCGATGGTATATGTCGTTCCGGCGGCATGCCTCCTACAATATTGAAAACAAGCCTAGTTCTCCGCGGTGATGCCTGAACGCTTTCTCCAATGACTCTTGATTGTTCGCGCTCCTTCTGCTGTTCGGAAACTCTGCCCGCCATCTAGGGAACTGAATTTCTGGTTCCCAGAGAGTTTCCGGGAAGTTTTGTCCGGCGGGAGTCCTGCACCGACCTCTACTGTTGCCCGGGGAGACCCGAAGTACGACGAGATGATGACCTACATGCAGGAAGAGGTCAGCCGGCTCTACATCGCCGTTTGGTTTTGGGCTGAAATTCCTCGATACTGCGTTCTCATCCGCGAACGCCTCTACGTTTGGGTTATTTTTCCCCTTTGTTGTACAAGCCGAAGAAAGGTGCAAGTACACTGCACGCATGAGTGCGAGCATCATATTGTGATTTTTTTTTTGGGTCTTCACTTCAAATCAGCGCTCACAGCACTAGTGCCGATTACTCCAACCGGTGGTCACACAGAAGAGCCAGCTTATTGTACAAGCCGAAGAAAGATGCAAGTACACTGCACGCATGTGTGCGAACATCATTTTGTGTTATTTTTTTGTGTGTATTCACTTCAAATCAGCGCTCACAGCACTACTAGTGCCGATTATTCCAACCCGTGGTCACACAGAAGAGTACACTGCACGCATGAGTACGAACATCATATTGTGATTTTGTCTTCACTTCAAATCAGCGCTCACAGCACTACTAGTGCCGATTATTCCAACCCGTGGTCACACAGAAGAGTACACTGCACGCATGAGTACGAACATCATATTGTGATTTTGTCTTCACTTCAAATCAGCGCTCACAGCACTACTAGTGCCGATTATTCCAACCCGTGGTCACACAGAAGAGTACACTGCACGCATGAGTACGAACATCATATTGTGATTTTGTCTTCACTTCAAATCAGCGCTCACAGCACTACTAGTGCCGATTATTCCAACCCGTGGTCACACAGAAGAGTACACTGCACGCATGAGTACGAACATCATATTGTGATTTTGTCTTCACTTCAAATCAGCGCTCACAGCACTACTAGTGCCGATTATTCCAACCCGTGGTCACACAGAAGAGTACACTGCACGCATGAGTACGAACATCATATTGTGATTTTGTCTTCACTTCAAATCAGCGCTCACAGCACTAGTGCCGATTACTCCAACCGGTGGTCACACAGACGAGCCGGCTTGTTCTACAAGCCGAAGAAAGATGCAAGTACACTGCACGCATGAGTGCGAACATCATGTTGTGTTATTTTTTTGTGTGCCTTCACTTCAAATCAGCGCTCACAGCACTACTAGTGCCGATTATTCCAACCCGTGGTCACACAGAAGAGCCCCTCTCTACCCTCCCCTCCTGCGGTACTTTGCCTTCGATTTTTAATGCGAGAAAAGTTCAGCACTCTCTTCCCTCTGTGTACACACGAACTAGCGCTCTCCACTAGACCAGGAGCGGAAGTGAGAGAAAAACTCAATGTGCAAGAAAAGCTCGCTTACGCCGGGATTCGAACCCCTGCTCTGACCTCTACAAGGTTCCGAGGATACCAACTAGACCACCGGGGCGACCGGTTCATGACTTGTACTGGTAGAATATTGGAGGACTAGGAATGACTTTAGCTTCTGATCATCTTGGGGACTACTGTACGATTGCACAGGTGGATCCAGTGATATCACCGCTGCTACAACGTGTTCTTAAGGCCCGCCCTCATGATGTCGCCAGCTTCGCAGCCCAAGCTCTGCATCAACTTGCGCTGACAGGGCCATCAACTGGAACACCTGACGCACCTTGAACTCTGGAAACAAAAAAAAATGAAGGGAAGGAAGATAGGGAGGAATCCAAATGGTTGAATGATGTCAATTAATGAAAGAGAAATAACCTGGAGAGAAACTCTCGATTCAGGTTTGGGCAACGCCCCAGACATGCAATGATATTGTAGTCCGAGAAAGCCGCAATACCGAAAATCAGTGGAAGGCCTTCATCACCAGGAATGATATCCCCCGCTTCTGCCGAGAAACACAAACCTTGCGTCCTTTGTCAGCTCGTGGTTCGACTGAGTAGTATGTAGAGAGTGAAGCAAAGAGCCCGGCAACGTGTCGCAATTAACTGAGGGGTGGGGCGCAGAACTTCTGAGCCACAACTAGCTGAGATGGGTGTCCTCTGCTCAGTGAAGAGTCAAAGGGGTTTGGCCTGCAAATCGACCAGATCGTTGTTGACCTGCACAACAGTACTTCCACACATAAAATGTTGGTGTCCGTTGATCGGTTGTTGTTCCGGTTTCCGCCGAGCAGGCGAGAGAGACGCGGGGGGCAAAGAGACATGGGAGTACTCTTCTTTGCAGAGTTCCAGATATCTCCTGAAAATGGTGCAGCGCTGTGAGACCCCGAGAGAAGTATTGTAGCAAGTCGGTTGTCAAAGACACCAACATGCTAACAAGCATATAGTCTATTTATTGCCTGTCCGTTGGCGTCAAGCTGCACCCAGGTAACCTACGAACAATTTTGATATCACCCGACCGCGCATGAGTACAAACATGCGACGCGGCAAACCTAATGTGAGCAGCTTGTGCTCCTTCGACAGTCGTCGAGAAGTAGGGTAGGCAGGCGTGCGGCGCAAAAAAAAGTGTATTGCCGTATGCATACCGAATACGACACAAGATAACACACCCCCTGGACCGATTTTCAAAGCTCTGTATCTCAAAAGCAGATAGAGTCACAGGGCCAAAGCGGTGTCATTGAAGCCGCCTTGTCGAGAGCTTTCCGAAAATGTATCGTTTCGTTTACGCATGTTCTTCGTCGTGGCGTAATCGGGCTTTGAAAATCGGTCCATGGGGGGTATGATCTTTTGTCGTCTCAGGACAACTAAGGCCGCAAGCGTCTCCCCAGATGAACCAGCAGCAATTGCCGCAAGATGGCGATCTACTGAAAATACTGCTGCTGTAGAACCACAAAATAATCTACCCTACGCACAGGTGTGGATACTGGTATTTCTCGATAACAAAAATTTCCCGCTGACCAAATTACAAATAAAGCTCGAAATTCTTCACTTCCGGTTGAACACGTCAAACTACGTACATAATTCCCCGCTGACTATGTAGACTATGTAGTCTGGCGCCAGAGCATGTGGGATGAACCCGCACACACACGAAAATACGTTGAACCAAAACACGCCTTGTTGATTTGGACCACCAGCCTCGCGGGTCCACCACAACACACTTTAGTAGGCCACCTTACAGCCTCGCGGGTCCACATTTACACAAGCACGACGTGGCCGCACTACTGAGGAGATTGTCTGCGGTGCAGCCTGCTGATCGAGACCTGTCTGGGCATGATGAGTGGAGAGATCGGAGCACGAGTTCCTTCCATTAACTCGGTGGCGAGAGCGTCGTACAAAGCTCTAGCGGACAGCAGCAGAAGCAACAGCAGCATCAGCAGCAACAGCAGCAGCGGTGCCAGCACTGATGATGCTACCCGCGACGCTTTGCGTGAGGCGAACCGCCTCCACTGCAAGGAAACGCGTCAGCGAAAGAGAAAGCAGGAGCAACTTCTGCGCGAGGTGCGTTGTAGTCTATCACGCGCTTCGAAGTCCAAAGCAAGATCAGCAAGATCAGCCAGCGGCGAACGACAAGACGTCGACAGCAACATCTCCTGTAAGATGCATGGTTGTGCACCAGCGTTTTGGAACCCTGTCCTGTACCTTCACACGCACTGGAGCGGTACATGGGATCCTCCCAAGAACAGTTTTGCTGCAACAGTATTGACTCAGATGATACGGATGCCTGAACACTCGATTTGGAGCGCTCTTCGATGTCTTTGGTTGGGGTTAGTTTAGCCCTTCGCTTATTGCTGTCCTTTTCAGTCTACTGAAATTTCCACATTGGTATAGTCTAGTCTATCTACTCCGGAGTATTATCTGTACCTCAACCCTCACATAGTGGCCAAGACTATTCGGTGGAATGTTGTCAACAGAATACCTGTACTACATACATTACAGCATGTGCCAAGGCGCGATCGATCTCCCATAGCACCCAACCCAGCACATCGTCAACGACGTGTGCCGGTTGAACCTCAACTGCTGCCAGAAATCCAGCTCCCCGGATATTTTCCCCGCCATCCCGACAATCGGTTGCAGGATTGTGTATATTGGCCCTGCCTGTCAGCAACTACAATAGCCACGACTACCTTAGAGCTCCAACTGCGCACTCGCCACCCCGACGCGAAATAGATTCGATATAATTACACATGACTTCATTCCTGTGGGCCAGACTACAAATTACAAAATAGTCCGAAAAATTTCCACGTTCTAAAACCATCACTAAACGCATCAACAATTATTTGCGCGCGCTTCTTTTCATTTTGTCAGGAAGTGAGTATCCTGGAGCTGTGCAAGTCCATCGTGGAACACGGACCGGACCTGTTCTCTGTCCACGGCTTTCACACGACCGCACCGTTCAGGTTGGTGTGTGTCCAATCAAACTTTACCACACGCGTCGTTGTGGCTGTCGCCTGTTGGTGCTGATCATTAAACCTAACGGGGCGAGAGATGAGACTACTGGTACAACTTGTGGTCTTGCCATATCGCAGATCCTCCCAAGAACCAGCTGAAGAGAGGTGATCCGTTCATTCAAAAGTATGTTCGTACACAACTCGAGACTACGCGATCGAGTTATGCAGGCATACACGGCTCGAGGAGTAGTGCCAAGTGATCACAGCAGATAGTTGCCGGACACATGCCATCGCACTGGTGCGGCATATCAGTTTTCCCGCTTGTTTAGAACGGGGAAGAATGCAAGGCGAACGCACCGACAACACATTTCCGTGATCCTCTTCAAGCACCTTCATTCCCTCATGAAGTTAATAGTCGAACCTTAGATACAACGTACGGGAGGCATGCGATACTCTCTTCTCAATAGACTACGATGTTCGTTGTTGAAGCATAGTCTATCAATGCTGGTCCCCACATCCATTTCCAACGACCGACCAGGTTCCTGTGCGAGGACTTTTGCGACAGGCTGCAGATGGAACCGGCGGAGTTCCTCGGAAGGCCGTTGGCAAGTATTGTGGACCCACAAGATGCAGACATTCTGGAGAACGCTGTGGCTCGAGTACTGAACCCGGCCTGTGACAGCACTGGCACTGGCACCACCAGCACGTGAGATGTTATTCTGCAAATATTCATGGAAAATGGATTTCAGACAGCCGCTCGCATGAATACTCTGTGTCGGTTGCTGCCGACCGTGTAGACTATCACGTATTATTGTAGCAACGTGATGCAACCTCAGCAATGTTCATGGTCGCTCTCATCGTATCGCTCGAGGGGTGGCCTTGGCGAAGGAGCATGCGCTTCCATTGACCTCCGACGGGGACATCTCTGCATGCGGCCATCCCGGCAGTCTTTCAGAGAGGTGTTGGCAGCGGCAGCGGCAGCGCCGCGTCTCTTGCCGTTTGCATGGTCAAAACGTGACGATTCGAGACAAGTACAGCTCGCGCCCGATGATGTACGAATGTGATGCTGATCTGTCTCCGGATACGCTCAAGAACGCATTGAATTGCCTGGGAATTAGTATTGCTCGTACTGGTGTCTTCAGGGCGCGCCAAAGGGCAAGCAAGCTCTTGAGGTAGAATATCAGATTCATTCGGGGGAATGGACACCTCGCCAAGTGGCAGTAAACAGGACTGATTCCGCAGACTTTTTGTAAGCAAAAGTGACCCAAGACACTGCTGTGATTTTCTTTGCTTGACCCCAATACGGTACTTTCTATCCATGTTGCGCCCTGAACGGTCGGTGGGGCTTGCGTGTGTATGAGAGGTCGGTGCTCGGTGCGTGGAATACGAATACGTTTTTTTTCACGGAAGTTGTGCCGCAAGGTTTTGCTCGTCTTGTTCAGGTGCAGTCTCCCCCGGCGGGCCACAGAAGGAAATCAGTCGAGCGAGTCGAGCCCGTTCGAATTCCAGGCAACACTCAACAAAAATAGTGCTAGTGTACAGTAGTATCTTGCAAGGCAGTTGATATTTTCCACTGCTGGAGGTTGTGTAAATAGGTGAAATCAGTATTTTTCAACGTCGTATTTACGCTCGGTACGTCACCCTTCCAACCTACGCGGTTCCACGCTATCCGATTGGTCATGCGTTGGTCGCTAGCCTTCACCCTCTCCTCAGTTGCATTAGTGCATTTTTTTTTTGCCTTCACTTCAAATCAGCGCTCACAGCATTAATAGTAGTGCCGATTACTCCAACTCGTGATCACACAGAAGAGCCCCTCTCTACCCTCCTCTCCTGCCGTACATTGCCTTCGATTTTTAATGCGAGAAGAGTTCAGCACTCTCTTCCCTCTATGTACACACGAACTAGCGCTATCCACTCGGCCAGGAGCGGAAGCGAGATAAATACTCACTTTGAAAGAAAAGCTTACTTACGCCGGGATTCGAACCCCTGACCTAACCTCTAGAGCGTTTCGAGGATGCCAACTAGACCACCAGGGCGATCGACTTACGGCATGCAATGGATTTATTTCCACTACGTACAGAAGACGTGGTCTGAACGCCGACTTGCTTGGCCTCCCGAGTTGAAAATCAATACTTAGAAATTAATTGACAGCGTCCCTTCCACCCGCTCCATTACTTGCTGCCTTGGACTGCATGCTGCATCCACTTACAGCTGGACCGACTCTCCTGACAGAGCGAAAGGGTGTCTCATCGACGTACGCGTGACGAGACACGGGCTGTCGTGCCCGGCGGAAATGTCCATCTCGATGGGAAGCCACGGTCTTGTCGTCGTCACTCGGCTGTATCGGTCATGAGTTCCTGATGATGCCATCCTCGGGTGGTAGGCAGGTGTTCAGAGCAATGAATTTACTGAAGGAAGCGAGGGGGACCAGGCACCAGGTGGTAGATATTTTAATAATCCGCAAGAACTGCGGTGACTCCGTAAAGCGGCGTCAGCGACACTGTTAAAATTTGGAACAAATCTATCTATGGTATTGGTACGCGGTATTTGAGTGAATCTCGGGCGTGTTGGCTCTTTATGCTTTTTCTAGACGAGTGTACTGCTTTCGATCGTGGCAAAATGTGTTGCGCTCCTGCCCGAGGTGTGTTTTCGTGAGTGATTCATTCTATTGTGTCGTCCCCATCCCTCTTGGCAACAACGTTGATTGTGCACCGCATAGACGAAAGACGTTATGGGTATGAAACGACGAAGTACAACTATACACTGTAATGGTAAGTCAACTATTCACTGTAATTCTCAGGATATTTTGCGATGCTTTGTTTGGTGATTTTCTCATGCACTCGTGAGCATGCACGAAACCGCTTGAGACCTAGCACCGACAAAAAGGCCGCTCACTCTATCTTGTTTCCAGTTGGTCGCAGGGGTATCGGGTTGGTGGCGATCGTTGTCGAAGGTAGTATGGCAGGGGGCCAGTTAGTCGCAGGTGCAATCAAAGGTTCCCTTCTTGGAAACAAGTGTTGAGCTGGCACTCTAGTTTTCTATCGGGTCGGATCTCTTGTCCTTCGAGGTGTGATCGTCTCGTGGACGAGATAGGTTGGACTCATGTGGAAACCTTCTCGACGGATGAACATGAAACGAAACAAAGAATCGGCAGCGTTGAGGCGGGTAGACCCTTCGTTTGCTGGGACTTGCATCGCGGAAAAAGTCGTGTGTTGTTTGGAGTGAATTGAAATGAGTAGAGGCAGAGTGAAGTGCGTGCCACACTGCACAGCAGATTTCATTACACTACATTATTTTGTTTTTGTCTCCCATCATTGGACTCTGTCGTCTGCCCCTCTGGCCCCTATTCTCTGCTTAAACCAGCTAGACGACCCAACCAGGGTCACATAGGAGGGGGGGTTGAACCCCTTCCTGCGGTTCCTGCTTGAGATATTTTATCGCGAGAACGGTACAGCAACCCCTTCCCTCGCGACTTACGAAGTCGATCCAGTTTTCAAACAACGAGCTTTGCAGCATGTAGACGAGCAATGAAATGATGGTGGTGTGCACGTCCCATTCTAGACTTCACATTTTAAATTGTTGAAACTTTCTCCGACCCGATTCGGTCGGAGGTTTTTCGGGTCGTTGCGCGGAGTGAAACTGACCCACGCATATGTGTTACGGCGGCTTTGCTGGCAACATGGTTCGCATGAAGCTAGAATGAACGGCGTCTCATGTGGTGCTCGAAGTAGTTTCGTTGGACACCGCGGTGGGTCGACTTGCGAACACTGCCGTCGATTGAAATTTTCATAAGTCGAACGCGACATCCCTAATGTTTTCCCTGAAACCTGGGGATGGCATGTTCATGATAGGATGACGACGCACTATCATAAACGGAAAATTAGATGCTGTGATTACGCGATGATGGCGGTTTCGATCGTCGGCGTTTTACGTCCATCATGGCAACGAAAATCAGACATGTTGCAGCGTACACAATTTCGCTCTCTAAATTCACAGGAACATGTATACATACCCTATTACTCGAGCGAAAAAAACTGTTCGGCGTTTTTGTCCCCATGGGCGCATATTGATTGAGTTGGAAACACTGTCGACAGTTCTTTTTGCAGGTTTCACTTTTGCTGGTATCAACGAAGGTTGGTGCTTGACGTATTATTTGCCAAGGGATTGGGTGATGGGGTGGTAGATTTGAGACTGCCACTATGGCGGTGTCGCTATTTGTTTGAAGAGTTTGTTAGAAAGCTGACGTCTGTATCATGTTATCCTTGATACAATGTTGTGTACATTGATTCGTAGTCTTCTCTCACGTGGCTCTCTCCTTTTCACCCCCCTTGAGCACAACAAGTTCCTCGCACATACGAAACCAGCTAAGACTTTCTGGGCATGAACAGGTTCAACCCGGGCTGGTCGATGTCATCGATTCGATTATTTTGCTCAAAAGAAGTACTCAAGGATGGACATATCATGTCTTTAAGCTGCCAAGGTAGGATTGGAGTCATCCAGTCACGACATCTCGGTTTGGTGTCTGCAAGCCCATGAGGAAAACACAAAGCCCACCTACACAGGTCGCTTCTCGTGTGAATTCAGCGTTCAAGTAACAGAGCGGCGCAACCACCTTGAGTCTCCTCCAGGCGTCCCCCTACCATACATTTCCATTCACGACCAGCAAGACCTAAAAATGAAGAAAGAGGGTTATGTCTCCAGTGAGGGAGGTAAAATATTTCTTCTCGCACGACGCCGCGGACACGTGGTGCAACGATCTTGCTTCCAAGCGTTGGGGGCGACAGCTCATACAAAGAAGGCTGCTGAAATCGAGGCATGCAATACATCACCGCACCGCGGAGTAGTTCTACACAAGAACAACAAAAAAGAACGAACTCATCATCAAAAACAACACGAAACACAACATCCACACATCACGCACAACATCGGATACAGAACTAGAACGAGTACCTCTCTCTTTTGCCAACACGTGATGATACACTCCACTTTCCTTCCGCACATGAAATCACAGTACAGCAGTAGTAATAGTGGTCCCCGTGTAACGCCGGTACGATCCAGCCGACTTCACCAGCATCATAGCGGGCAACCGGCAATGTTCAGAGCATGACACCTACTGACATTTCATCTGTGCCAGACGATGTCAAGGGCATCTTCCCGGGGCTTTCCGGCGTTGTTCGACGGGCGGGACCCGACTGTAACCAACCCCAACGCGCAACGCGAATTGAGCCGGGCGCATCGCGCCACAGGCAGGACCCCAAAGGGTCGGTCATGCGATGCGGACCGTGTAGTCCAAGTTCGGAAACCCTTCGGCGCACATGCGCCCCTTGAAGTGCCTGAGAGCGCTGTTGATGAAGCGGGTTGCCATGCAGAGCACGAAGGCGTTCCGCTTGGCGGACCTCGGGGTGATGCTCTCGTACCGCGCCCCCGGGTGCATCTGCAGCAGCGCGAAAGGGCACCAGAAGCCACACAATATCGGAACACTTCATAATGATAACAGAAAAGTGCAGCGCGGGCAACGTGGAACGGGGCCAGGAGAGATACAACATCGGAACACTTACTACGACATTCAAAGCGAGGAAGCTAGGGTATTGCAATGATTCCTGGGGTCCTCCGACACGCCCACGAGTTAGTTATGGTGACAGGCGCGGTGTTGGCCGAAACAGAGGGTGCCCGTGCAGAGTGAACAGGCGCAGCGTTCAAACACCAGGCGGGTGTCCCGGTGAATCAATCCGCAACGAAAAAAAAAAAAATCAGCGTGAACATAGTAGCGGGAACGAGAAACGAAGAGAGCTTTCGCACTGCGATCCTCTCTCCAACAAACCAGAGGATAATCTCTACTGGTACTGGATCCTCGTGCCAATGCCAATGGACCTCTACCACACAACGGTCGACCCCGAGCGGCCTGTTCCTCGTCGAGGGAGGGGCGGGAATGAAGACGGGATAAATGGGTTCCCTGCCGGTAGAACCTGCAGCGCTACCAAGGCACCTCCCACATATGTACAATTCCAACCTGGTTAGAGATCGACTGGTCTGCAGCTTCGCCGTGTTCTATAACAGCGCTCATTGGGCGTTAGCGTTTGGGCTCGTGCTGCCGATGCGTCGGAGGGTGTGCGGGAGACTGCTGTATGTCGTTGTTCGTCGTTGGTTATCGTGGGAGAAGAAGGGAGAGGAAGAGGGAGAGACAAGAGACGGCCCGGTGGGCACGGAACACCAATTTACTCACGGGGCTTCCGAGTACACGATAAACCCGTCCTTGTTGCCACAACACCTCGTAATACTCGGTTGGTTTGCCGTGTTTTCGTTACCCTTCGCGGGATGGGTAACCCTTCCATGGATGGAAGCCGATTCTTCAAGAAATGTGAAAAAAACTCGCAGATAAAACAACATCACCAACCACGCCAAAAATGCCGCCGCCAACTATTTAAAAGTGCACGTGGACGTGTGGATACCTTGTAGGTGCTCTCTTGTATGTCCACGGGGGGAGTCTCGAGCATCGGTGTGTCGCACTGCAGCTGGTCGTAGTCGTTCTCCTTTCGATACCGCCTGGAAAGGAAGCGACGGGCAAACAAACGCACAAATAAAGAAAAACGCGCGCTTGGTTTTTCGGCGTGCCACACTCGACAAGAGAAGCACGTTATGGGCGTTACCGTAGGTTGCAGAAGATAGCACACACCCTGGACCGATTTTCGAAGCTCCATATCTCGGCAGGAAAGGTCATGACGGTGCCGCTAAGGCGCTTCTCGTCGAGAGGTTTCCGAAAATGTATACTTCCATTTCGGCCTCCTCTTCGTCGTGGAGTAATCCTCAAAGCAACGTGCAAGGGGGTGAAGGCAACAATCGCAACGAGCATCTACGACCACCTGGAAAGATACGTGACGGAGCTCGAAGCGATCTACCAGGACCGCGACATGCGGGGGCTGTACCAACACCTCAAGCGGTCAACGGGCCTCAGCGGGAGACAAGCTGGGGGGCAGCAGTTCGTTACAGACGAGAACGGCGTGCTACTCCGGAACAAGGATGCCATCCTCAAGCGGTGGCGGAGA